TAAAAAAGAAAGAAATAAATAAAAGAAAGAAAATGATAGTTGCCTTGGAGAACAGGGATTGTCTAGGGCTGGGATGGACGGAATGAGAAACACAAATAGGAAACTGAGGCAGCTTCCAGACTGAAGACAGTTGAGTCTTTGCCCAGACCCCTGTGGGGTGTAGGAAAATGGACAATTTGGAACTGTTTCAGAGACACTGAATCCACAGGATGAAATGCTGGTGATGAAGGGAACAGAAGATCCTCAAGGCCTCCCAAGCTTCTGGTCCGTGCTCCTGACTGCCCTGACTGAGCCTGGGAGGCTGGCGGAGGGGCAAGAGGTGATCAGCTGGGTGCCCTGTCCCTAGGTGGAGGGTTGCATGGGGGACTGGCGGGTGTTGTGTAAGTTTCTGTTTTCTTTTTCTTTTTCTTTTTTTTTGAGACGGAGTCTCGCTGTGTCGCCCGGGCTGGAGTGCAGTAGGTGGCGCGATCTTGACTCACTGCAACGTCCACTTCCCCAGCTCAAGCGATTCTCCTGCCTCAGCCTCCCAAGTAGCTGGGATTACAGGTGTGCGTCACCACGCCCAGCTAATTTTTTTGTATTATTATTAGAGACAGAGTTTCATCATGTTGACCAGGCTGGTCTCAAACTCCTGACCTCAAGTGATCCATCTGCCTTGGCCTCCAAATGTGCTGGGATTACAGGTGCTCACCACCACACCGGCTTTTTTTTTTTTTTTTTTTTTTTTTTTTGTATTTTTAGTAGAGACAGAGTTTTGCCACACTGACCAGGCTGATCTTGAACTCCTGGCTTCAAGGGATCCACTTGCCTCGTCTGCCCAAAGTGCTGGGATTACAGGCATAAACCATCGTGCCCGGCGTTGTGTAAGCTTCATTAGGGCTCAGGTAACGGGGACGGGGATGGCAGCTTCTCAGAACTGTCATATGCGCCGGGCACAGTGGCTCACACCTGTAATCCCAGCACTTTGGGAGGCCGAGGCGGGCAGATCACCTGAGGTCAGGAGTTCGAGACCAGCCTGGCCAACATGTTGACACCCTGTCTCTATCAAAAGTACAAAAAATTAGCCTAGGGTGGTGCCGGGCGCCTGTAATCCCAGCTGAGGCAGGAGAATCGCTTGAACCCGAGGGGCTGAGGTTGCAGTGAGCCGAGATCGCGCCATTGCACTCCAGCCTGGGCGACAAGAGCGAAACTATTGCCTCAAACAAAAAAAAAAGAACTGTCATATGGCCGATTGAGGGAATGACCTCCTCTGCAAGTGGCCGGATTCCGAGACTGCCCTAGGCCGGCCGGCAGACTTGCTGTGTGGCCTACAAGCAATACCTAGCCCTCTCTGAGCCTGAGAGTTCCCATCTGTAAAATAAAGACCAATAATGTTCCGCTCACAGGCTTGTAGGGGGAGTCATCCAATGAGCCCTGTCTTGGCGCTCAATAAATGTTGGTCGCTCCTTACCCCTTATCACCGAGTCTCAGGAGGAAAGAGTGGCGCCTGTCTCTTTAAATTATGCAAATAGACTGCGGGTGGCGTAGGGGGAATATAAAAAGGACCCTGATCTACGGCTGGGCCAATCAGCGCGCTGGATTGGCGGAGCTGGCCGCCTAAATGGCCCAATGGCGGACCGCGCGGGATCAGAGCCCGCCTCTGCCTACCGGCGTCGTCACTGGGGTGGGGACTTTCTCGGCCACGCCCCGGGGGCGGAGCCAGCCGGCAGCCGCGCCGCAGCCTCGGAGGGAGGGGCGGGGCGGGCTCGGGTGTCAGCGACCAAGCCGCAGGTGGCGGCGAGCGCGGGGCTCGGCCCGAGCTCGGGAGGTGAGTGCTGCCCCCCGGACCCCCGTGGGGCATCCTGGCCCTCGCAGCCTCCCACGCGCACCGTGCGCTGCAGCCCCGGAGGCTGCGGTGGGCAAAGGCGCGGCGGGACTGGAGGGATGGAGAGCAGGGGGTGGGGGTACGCGGTGGGTGCCCCGGCTTCCCCCCACCAGTGGTAATCGGGGGTCCACAGGCGGAAATGGGGACAGCTCCCCAAATCCCCTGTCTCCTGGCCTAGAACGGAGAGTGCACGGGGGCGGTGGTGACGACGCGAGACCCCTCCCCAAATCCTTTTATTCTAAGCCTAAGTCTGGGTTCTGGGGCTGCAAAGGTGGGGGCGCTGCTCCCCTTCCAGCCTGGAACGCTGGGCGGCTGCTGAGGTGGAGACCACTCCTAAATTCCTTCTTCACAGCTCCGGCCCGCAGACCCCCGGGGACCGAGATGAGGGACCCACTTCTCTTTTCCTCCAGGCCTGGTGGCTGGAGGAGCTGGGGGGTCCCCGGCCCCTCTAATCTGCCCCATCCCAGCCCCCTACCTCAAGGATGGGGTAGGGGGCGTTTACTGGCATGTTCTGTGGGGACCCCGAGGTTGGAATTTTGGGGAGGAGGTCAGCATGGGGTCCCCTGCCTGGCACGGATTAGCCAGACCAGGCCTCAAAGGGCCTGGAGCCTGGACTTGGGGGGGGTCCCTCTCTTACTTGGGGGGGGTGTACAGCTAGCATCTGTTCCTGGGGATTAAAATAAATCGAGGTAAATTAGGATCTTGCCAGAGGCTGGCTGTGAGTGGGGTGCGGAGGAGGCTTGGGGGGTGGGGGCCCTCCATCTGCCTTGGATCCCCCAAGTCACCTGCCCCGGCCGCATTGGGGACCAGGAGGCAGTATCGAATGGACCTGCCTCACTGGTGACCTTGGGCAGGTGACAGCACCTTTCTGAACCTCCGTTTCCTATTTTGAAAATCGAGATTGGGAGCTCCGGACCCTGCATTTTGCAGATTCTGAACTCACCCAGCCCACCTTTTGTCCAATGGTGATTCACTCTTCTGCTTAACATGCGGGTGGTTTGGGGTCCAGAGAGCTTTGGGTTGAGGACCCTCCCACAGTGCCTTGCTATTTTCTGAGCCTCAGTTTACTGCACTGCAAAATGGGTTGATGATGACACTCTGATATTCAGGCTGGGGGCATAGGGGCAGGGAGTGAAACATAGGACTGAGCTGCAATCGTCGGGATGGGGCTTAGCTACCCTGGCCTCACCAGTGGGGCCACCTAGGGCACACCCTGACCCACATACCGTCACCCACGCCAGGGGTGAAGCTGTTCTTGGGCGGGGTCCTGGGCAGGAGGAGGTGGGAGTTGCTAGGCCAGCTCATCCCCTGTCCCTTGGAGCACCCTCCCAGTGGTGGGCACAGGGCTGGGAGTCTGACACCCCCAGATGTGAATTTGCCTCTGCCTGTGTGTGTGTGTTTCCCTGGTGTCTTGGTCTGTTCTTCTGTGAAATGGGCTGAATTCCTCTGGGAAGATCAGAGGAGTCTGTGGGAGGAGGCGAGCTCTGTAAGTACAGACATGATCATTATAATATTAATGACAATATTAGCCGTGCTCATTAAATGGGGTCACTGCTGAGCAGGAGGAGGGCAGGGAAGGGGGAGTCTGCCAAGGATGTCACCTGAGGAGACTCCAGCATCTGGGAAATGTAGGTACACAGTCGGCACACAATAGATGTTTGCCAAATGAAGTGAGGAAGAGGGAGGGGACTCACGGGGAGGGCAGAAAATGCCTGAGAATCCCTGGCTCAGATTCCCATTTGGTGGCCGGAGTCGCTGTGTGACCTGGGGCATGTGCCTTAGTTTCCCCATTGTGGTGCTGGTCAAGATAAGACTGCCTCGAGATGGGGTGGCGAGAATCAAGCCAGATTGTGTTAAGTGATCGCAGCCCAGGTGGCTTGGTCAAGGGGGAGGCGTGACGTTGTAGGTCATTGAAACAGCATGGTACCCACTTGAACCAAGTGGCCGGTCAGTGGGAAGGATGAGAAAACCCTTGCTCCTGGCCCTGCTGGGCACACACTGGGGCCCAAGAGAGAGGGAAATGCCAGATCCTGTTTCCCAGGATCCTGGAAGCCAGATCCTGGAAGGTCAGGAGTGGTCCAAGGTCATCGGCAAGAAGTCAGCAGATCCGGACGGCCAGCCAGGCACCACCCGATTCCCAGGGTGAGAGCTCAGGTCTTGCCTTTGTTGCTGGTGTGGTTCCTGCTTTGTTTTATCTGTTCCGGGGCTGCTCACATGTCTCAGCCTCAGGTTTGCAAGGCTTGGTGCCTTGAAGGCAGGATGGGGCCCTGAGTCAGCTGGCAGTGTGCTGTGTGACCTTGGGTAAGTCTCTAGCCCTCTCTGGGCTTTGTGCTGGCGCTGTACAAGCTGGGAGACTTGGATTCTAGCAGAGCTGACTCCAGCAGACCCGACAAGCCCAAGTCTCAGGCTCACAGTGCTTTTAGGGGCACCCAGGGTGATGTTTTCACTGCTTTTAAAATCAGAAGGAGAAAAGAATGAACTTTCGGGTTGAAGGAAGCATTTTTGTGTATAACATTAATATATTTGTCTTTATGCCAATGCAGTAGTAAAATATAGTTTTGTTTTGTTTTGTTTTTTTGAGAGAGTCTCACTCTGTTGCCCAGGCTGGAGTACAGTGGTATGATCTCAGCTCACTGCAACCTCTGCCTCCCGGGTTCAAGCAATTCTCCTGCCTCAGCCTCCCAAGTGGCTGGGATTACAGGCATGTGCCACCACACCCAGCTAACTTTTGTATTTTTTTTTTTTTTTTTTTTTTTTTGAGACAGAGTTTCGCTCTTGTTACCCAGGCTGGAGTGCAATGGCGCGATCTCGGCTCACCGCAACCTCCGCCTCCCGGGTTCAGGCAATTCTCCTGCCCCAGCCTCCTGAGTCGCTGGGATTACAGGCACGCGCCACCATGCCCAGCTAATTTTTTGTATTTTTAGTAGAGACGGGGTTTCACTATGTTGACCAGGATGGTCTCGATCTCTTGACCTTGTGATCCACCCGCCTCGGCCTCCCACAGTGCTGGGATTACAGGCTTGAGCCACCGCGCCCGGCTTGTATTTTTAATAGAATCAGAGTTTCACCATGTTGCCCAGGCTGTTCTTGAACCCCTGGGCTCAAGTGATCCATCTGCCTCGGCCTCCCAAAGTGTTGGGATTCCAGGCATGCGCCAACATGCCGGCCTAAAATATAATTTTAAATTCCTTTTGTAGTGAAGGAAAGGGCCCATGAATACAAAAATGTCTTCCCCTTTCTGAGCGCGTTTCCCTCTCTGAGCCTCAGTTTACCCTGTCTGTGAAGTGGGTATCGTTGCACATCAGGACGGCGAGATGTTGAATGTCTGGGCCAGGGTAGGTGCACAGCTAGTTCCCAGTTGTTTTCGTGATTATTATTTGTTCGGTAAGAACAGCTCTAGGTTCAGGCTGGGGGGCCCAGGTTCAGGCGTCTGTTTACTCGCCCATGGCCTATGTGGTTCCAGGGAGGTCTCATGGGTGCCAATCGGGCGGGGGAGGTAAGGTGGCGGTTGGACGGTAGGCGGGGCGGGGTGAGCTTCCTGTCCCCCCCATGCACACAAGCCTCCAACTTGGTGCTCACGGAAGTAGCCTTGTGGCCGTCTCCTGGCGCCTGCCTCATCAGACGGGGGCCCCATCCCATGCGCTACCCTGTCCGGTGAGTTTGAACCCTGGCCGGTAGATACCCATCACCTCTCCTTGCCCCCTCCGCTCAGGACCAGAAGGGAGGCCCCTCTGCTTGGGGCCCGGGTTTCCGGAGAAGTGGCAGGTGTCACTTCCTGGGCTGGCCAAGGCCAAGGCCTGCGTGGGGCTACCCGTTGCCCTGTCCCCCGCCCCCCATTCCAGCTGTGAGTGGTGGTTTGGGTTGGGGCAGGGCAGCAGCGGGGGCTTGGAAACCCAGAGAGCCACGCGTGATGATTTCAAACAGGAGGTCACTGGCAGAGAGACCAGGGGCAACATCACAGTCAGCTGGGACCAATGACTGACCTCCCTGTGCCTCAGTTTCCCTCGTAGCATTGAGATTGCACCTCAGGGCATGGCATGAAGGTTGGCTGAACAGATGTGTGTGAATAGTTGGGTAGAGGGTCGCACGCGTACTGGTGCTCCGTGTGTATCTGTTTGCCAGGGGTGGGGTGGGTGAAGCAATCTCATTGAAACTGTAAAAACAGTAGTGAGATTCTTGGTTTCTGGGGAACTTGGGCTCTGTGGCTCCTGGGATCTTCTAGAACAATGTTGGTCACAGGACTTTCTCATCTGAGCCATCCAATACCGCAGTCACCAGAGTCATGTAGCTTCTGAGCCTTGGGAGGGAGGCTGGTGCAGGTGAGGAGTTGGGCATGTAATTGTATTTAATTTTGGGGTGTGTGTGTGTGTGTGTGTGTGTGTGTGTGAGAGAGAGAGAGAGAGAGAGAGAGAGAGAGAGGGACGGGGTCTCACTCCGTCACCCAGGCTGGAATGCAGTGGCATGATCTCAACTCACTACAACCTCCGCCTCCAAGCTTTGAGCGATTCTTGTGCCTCAGCCTCCCAAGTAGCCGGGACTACAGGCATGCACCACCACCACACCCGGCTGATTTTTGTATTTTTTGGTAGAGATGGAGTTTTGCCATGCTGGCCAGGCTGGTCTCGAACTCCTGACCTCAAGTGATCCGCCCACCTCGGCCTTCCAAAGTCCTGGGATTACAGGTGTGAGCCACCGTGTCCAGCCAATTGTATTTAATTTTACTTGGTTTAACATTAATATAAGCCAGCCGCGGTGGCTCACGCCTGCAATCCTAGCACTTTGGGAGGTTGAGGCAGGTGGGTCACCTGAGGTCGGGAGTGAGACCAGCCTGACCAACATGGAGAAACCCCATCTCTACTAAAAATACAAAACTAGCCAGGCATGGCAGTGCATGCTTGTATCACCAGATACTTGGGAGGCTGAGGCAGGGGAGGCGGAGGTTGCAGGGAGCCGAGATCTCGCCACTGCACTGCAGCCTAGCCAACAAGAGCGAAACTCCATCTCAAAAAAAAACAACAACAAACATACAAATCATTAATACAAGAATTAAGACCAGGGGTGGTGGCTCACAGCTGTAATTCCAGCATTTTGGGAGGCCCAGGCGGGAGGATCGCTTGAGTGCAGGCGTTTGAGACCAGCCTAGGCAATGCTACTGAGACCTGGTTTCTACAAAAAAAAAAAAAAAAACATTAAAAAAAAATTAATTGGTCATGAAGTCCTAGCTACTCAGGCGGCTGAGATGGGGGGATCACTTGAACCTGGGAAGTTGAGGCTGCAGTGAGCTGTGATCGCGCCACTGCACTCCAGCCTGGGTGACAGAGCAAGACCCTGTCTCAAAAAAAAAAAAAAAACTTAATACAAAAATTATCTGGGTGTGATGGCTCATGCCTGTAGTCTCAGCTACTCAGGAGGCTGCTATTCATGGCTCCCACGGGAAGTCGAGGCTGCAGTGAGGAATGATCGCACCACTGCACTCCAGCCCTGGGCAACACAGCAAGACCCTGTCTCCGAAAAAAAAAAAAAGAAAAAACAGTTAAGTCACCATTTGAGGCTAGTGGTTCCTGCCAGTCAGCACAGCTCTAAGGGATGGGGAGATGCTTAGGGTCCCGGTCATGGATAGAAGCTAAGACATGATACGGGAATTTAGAGCGTTTCCCATGGGGATGTCAGTTTAGCATGCTCACCACCCTACCCCTGCCACCAAATTAGGTTTCCTAAGTAGGGGCTGAAGTTTTTCCGGGGCCCCTCATTAACCAGTGCAAGGTTAGGAATGTTTGTTGAAACAAATAATTTTTTGCCCAGCGAACTCCTATTCATCCTTTAAAACCCCCAACTCCCATGAACCTTCCTTTAGTCTGGGCTCTTCTGGACCTTGTCCCTCCATCTGGCTCAGCCCTGTCCATGCAGGACGGGGGTAGCTGTGTCCAGCTCTGTCCCTCTAGACTGGAGACTCCTGCAGGGCCAGGCCCAGGGCTGAATCAATTCAGGGACCCTGACATTGTGCTATCCAGGGTGAGCGCACAGGAGGTCTTACTCAGAGAAGTCCCAGGACTGGAGGGTGAATGATACTGGGTCCAATTAATCTATCTTTCCTTCCTTCCTTCCTTCCTTCCTTCCTTTCTTTTTTTTCTTTTCTTTTCTTTTCTTTTCTTTTCTTCTTTCTTTCCTTTCTTAGACAGAGTCTGGCTCTGTTACCAGGCTGGAGTGCAGTGGTGCCATCTCAGCTCACTGCAACCTTCGCCTCCTGGGTTCAAGCGATTCTCCTGCCCCAGCCTCCTGAGTAGCTGGGATTACATGCATGCACCACCACGCCCAGCTAATTTTTGTATTTTTAGTAGAGACGGGGTTTCACCACATTGGCCAGGCTGGTCTCGAACTCCTGATCTCAAGTGATCCGCCCACCTTGGCCTCCCAAAGTGCTGGGATTACAGGCGTGAGCCACTGTGCCTGGCCTAAACTAACTTTCAAGATGAGCTAAACTGAGGTGCTAGAGGGGCAGCCTTGCCCAAGGTCTTGCTCAGTCCTTTCCTGGGGAGACCCTGGGCGCCTCCTAATCCTGAGGTCACCGGTCCCTGTCTCTCTTGCCACTGTCCCTCTCAGGCTCCCAGCTGCTACCGAGCTGCCTGCTGGGTCATGAATTATGAATGAGGCCCCCAGGCTCCAGTAACAAGCCTGGCCTCTAGCACATGCCAAGGACACTGCCTGTTCGTCCCCTGCCGGGCGGCCTGACCCAACCTTTTGTGCAGACACCTGAGGTTCCCCAGCAAGATCCCTTCTAAGCATTCCTTCTTATTTTGCAGATGGGGAAACTGAGGCACGGAGCTGGACAGTGATTCAGACACCAGGTGAACAGTGGTTTTCGAGGGCCAGGTTGGGACTCATGGGGTCACCAGTGCCAGCTGGGGCATCACAATGAGGGGTGAGCTCTGACTCCCAAGAGGGTACATAAGGTGGGGACTATTGTAGAGGAATTCAGAAGACCCCCAAGGGACCCTCAGGGACACTTCAGGGACCCCAACCCCCATGTGGCTGATCGCAGCCCCTACATCTGTTTCTCTTCAAATCCTTTTCCTACAGGAGCCGCCTGGAGTGGAGCTGAGAGGTCAGGTCTGCGCTTGGACAGTCCAGAGTGCAAATCTACTGTCACTTCCTAGCTGTGTGATCTTGGCAAGTGGCTTCCCCTCTGGAGGCAGGGAGGGCTCAGTTTTCCCATCTGTGAAGTGGCTCAGAGCTTTCCTGCCAAGGTTGGCGGTCATCCAGCACTGCTCCTACCCATTGCTATGAACTCTTATACATACCTTAAAACCCCACATTCCATGGCCCCTCCTCCAATCTAGACTCCCTCAGCTCTTGTCCCTCCACCTAGTCCAGTCCTGACTCTGTGGAACTAAGGGCATCTGTGTCTTGTTCTGCCCCCTATACTGGAGTTACTTGGGACCAGCACCAGGGCGGAATTATCTCAGGGGTCCTGGCATGGTCTTAGCAATGGGGCTTTCAGTTCCTCCTTCATCCTTTCTCTCCCTCCTCTACAGGGAGGGACTTTCCCCCTCATCAGGCCCACACTGACAATGACTCTGTAGGTCAAACTTGCCTCTCTCTTTAGACAGGCACTGGACGGGGCCTGCGGGGGTCTCCACAGAGATCATCAGGATGTCGTATTTTGGGGAGCATTTTTGGGTAAGACCGACTCTTATTTTGGTGGAGGATCCTGGCAGGGCTTCAGAGACTTTTATGGAGATGGGGGGACGGGTGAATTGTGGGTAGAGTCTTGGACAGGAGGGTCTGCAAGGGGTGGAAGTTAACGTGGGCAGAGTCTGGCTGGGTTTGAATCCACACCCACCCCAGACCTCACAGGCCTTACGACCTTGGGCAAGTCATAGCTTGTGTCATAGGGAGACCAAGGCCCAGAGTGGGAACGTCTGACCTGAAGCGGCCCCATGAAAAAGTGCAGAGTCAGTGCTCAAACCTAGGGACAAACTGAACTTCCAGGACTCAGGGTCATTCCAGCCAGGGAATTTCCACCCCCTTCCCATCCTGGAGAATTGGGGGGTTTTCCTGACCTAGCCAACCATGGCCTGTGCACCCCTCCACTGTCTAGGTTGGAGATCACCTACTGTAGCCCAAGTGGTGCTGAGTGAGGCAGATTTGTTTTCATTCATTCATTTCCTCCCTCCCTGCCACTGTGACCTCACCCCCAGCTCTCCCTAGGAGAGGCTGGGGCCTCCAAGAGAATCCATCCCAGCCCCAGCCCCCAGGGAGGAGTCCCCAGCCTCGTGGACCCAGAGCCAGTTTAGACACATCCAGCCCTGCAGGACCAGGGCTGGACCCAGCCTTGTTGAGGGAGGGGGTGGAGGGGGTCTAGTGGGAACCAGGACACAACAGAGTCGTGTGTGCTGTGGGACAGCCTGGGCAAAAGACGAGAAGTGTGACATTGAGTGGCAAGTCGAGGAAACAGGGACTCCTCCTGCGGAGCCAGGATAACGGGGTACCACAAAGGATGGGCGAACAGGGGAGAGCCCAGGTGTAAGGGAAGAACCAGGGCAGAAAGCCCCTTCCCCAGTTTTGGTCCCTGAGCCTGCAGCTAGGAAGCTTGTTGCTAGGTGACTGGTTGCCCCTGGCAACAAGCCCCACCTCCTGCCCTTGCTCCCTCCCCAGCTGGGGCTCCTCTTCCTGGCACTTGCTTTCTTAAAGGGGCCGCACTCCCTTGCCACCTGGAGGGGTGTGACCTCTGCCCTCCATTTCCCCCTGAAAGGCTGTGTGACCCCAGCAAGGGCTGCATCTCTGAGCTCCTGTTAGTACTGCTGTGTAACGGAGGTGACCGTTTGAGGATCAGAAGTCACCCACATGTTGGAACCCCGACAGTGGAACCTACCTTTATTTTAAATCCTTTTTAATTGCGTGAGGTGTGCGGGGCTTGCTGCAGAAAATTCAGATCAGCAGAGAGAAAATAGAAACCGCCCCCGATTTCCCCACCCCACCCAAAGATATCCTGGTAGAGAATGGTTAAGAGCTTTGAGTTCAGGAGTCGAACTGGGCTCTGCTGGGAGCGCTTGAGAAAAGAGCTTTGCCGGCCTGAACCTCCGTTTCCCCATCTGGGAAAAAGGAATGAAATTCCTGTACTGCCACTCCCACCCCACACATCCCAGGCAACCCCCAGACTCAGGGAGGCCTCCCGTGACATCTGTCACTGGCAAGGTTTCTTTTCATCAGTTGTTGGTATTGAAGCCGCCACAGGTGCCTGGTTCTTTGTTGGGTGACACTGGGCGCTGTCTCAAAGGCGGCTCTCATCAGGGGAGATTAAGCCAGACAGGGATGCCCCAGTCTCATCACGCCAGGGCAGGGCCAAGGCATAGAGGGTACTAGGGAGCCATGGGGGAAGTGTGAGCAGAAGAGGGATATAAACAAGCCCTGTTACAAAGACCACACTCTTGGCCGGGTGCGGTGGGTCACGCCTGTCATCCCAGCGCTTTGGGAGGCCAACTGGGGCAGAGCACCTGAGGTCAGGAGTTGGAGACCAGCCTGGCCAGCATGGCAAAACCCCATCTCTGCTAAAAATACAAAGCTTAGCCGGGCATAGTGGCGTGCGCCTGTAGTCCCAGCTACTTGGGAGGCTAAGGCACGAGAATCACTTGAACCCGGAAGGTGGAGGCTGCAGTGAGTTTGCACCACTGCACTCCAGCCTGGGTGACAAGCAAGACCCTGTCTCAAAAAAAAAGCCCCTACTCCGGCTGGCACGGAGGCAAGTCTGAAGTCTGGAAGTTCTGGTGGGAGAGATAGACCTGAGACAGCCCCTCCTAGGACCCTCGGCTGCCAGCCCAGTCCAAGGGAGGCAGACGCCACTGGGGGTGTGCCAGGTCTGGGAAAAGGGCCAGCATTTGGCTCTGAGTCAGCCCCAGATGCTGGTCTGGGCGGTGGTGCCTGGTGCAGCCTCACCCGAGGACCTCCTGGGGCCAGCGCTGCGCCAGCCCCATCCCAAGACCCTTGGGAGTTGGGTGCTGTTCTTGTCCCCACTTGTCACACAAGGAAGAAAACTGAGGCCAGAGAGGTGAAGTCACCAACCCAAAGTGACCTTGTACATATAAGGAGATTGGACACTTGAACTGTGAAAGCATGATTCCAAACACATGAAGAGGGAAACTGTGGGTGGGGCGCGGTGGCTCACGCCTGTAATCCAAACACTTGGGGAGACTGAGATGGCCGATCACCCGAGCCCAGGAGTTTGAGACCAGCCTGGACAACATGGCAAGACCCCGTCTCTACTAAAAATACAAAAAATCAGCCAGGCGTGGTGGTGTGCACCTGTGGTCCCAGCTACTTGGGAGCCTGAGGTGGGAGGATCGCGTGAGTCTGGGAGGCAGAGGTTGTAGTGAGCCAAGATCACGCCACTGTACTCCAGCCTGGGTGACACAGTGAGACCCTGTCTCAAAATAAAATAAAAGAAAGAGAGAAAATATATTCTTGGTGATCTGGAGGGAGCAACAGTGAAGTGGGAAGGGGGTTGAGCAGAGTTAGGGAAGTTTCTAGAGCAGGGGCCGATGATCCTGGAGAACTGGAAGGATGCGGATGGGTGGAAGGAGGTACAGGCTGGGGAGCTGATGGCAGGAATAGCCTGGACACAAGGCGTGCTGGTGGAAAGGCACTGTGTGTCTTTGCCATTTGCTGTTTTGTGGGTAAGGCTAGGAAGAGGCTAGGAGATGAGGCTGGAGTGTCCATGGACTTGGACTTCGGCATCTGGTGGGCAATAGGGAGCCATTGATGATTCTAGAGTGAAGTGTGACCATTGGGAGATTTGGGCTTGAGGCTGACCTGGGTCTGCCCCAGTCTTGGCTTCAGTTTCTTCATCACTGCTAGGTAATGTTTTCAGCAGGAAACCTTACCTAGTGGTGACCTCTGTCTTTAACCTTCAAGCTTCTGCCCAAGTGTGGTGGCTCATGCCTGTAATCCCAGCACCTTGGGAGGCTGAGACGGAAGGATTGCTCAAGTCCAGGAGTTCAAGACCAACCTGGGCAACATAGTAAAACCCTGTGTCTACTAAAAATTAAAAAAATCAGCCGGGCATGGTGACACATGCCTGTGGTCCCAGCTACTTGGGAGACTGAGGTGGGAGGATCGCTTGAGCCTGGGAATTGGAGGCTGCAGTGAGCCAAGATTGTGCTGCTGCACTCCAGCCGGGGAGACAGAGCAAGACCCTGTCTCAAATATAGAAAAATAGGCCCGGTGTGGTGGCTGACGCCTGTAATCCCAGCACTTTGGGAGGCCAAGGCGGGCGGATCACAAAGTCAAGAGATCGAGACCATCCTGGTCAACGTGGTGAAACCCCGTCTCTACTAAAAAAATAAAAAAATTAGCTGGGTGTGGTAGCATGCACCTGTAGTCCCAACTACTTGGGAGGCTGAGGCAGGAGAATTGCTTGAACCCGGGAGGCGGCGATGGCAGTGAGCCGAGATTGCGCCACTGCACTCCAGCCTGGTGCCTGGAGACAGAGCAAGACTCTGTCTCAAAAAAAAAAAAAAAAAAAAAGAAAAGAAAAATATATATAGCATTCAAGCTTCCAGGTACCTGGGAGGGTGAACCGGCCGTTTGGAGGAGGACGCAGGAAACTACCATTTATGGAAAACCAGCCAAACGCTGCCAGAGCGATGGCTTCACTGATAAGTGTTGGGACCTAAATAGCGTCAGATCCCTCCACAAGCCTTCTTTTCCAGTATTGTTACAAGACCTGATTTGGTGCTAAAATGTCCCCAGTTTCCTTAGACCCCAGCTGATGACCTTTTTTTTTTTTTTTGAGACAGAGTCTCTGTTGCCCAGGCTGGAGTGCAGTGGTGCGATCTCAGCTCACTGCAACCTCCACTTCCTAGGTTCAAGTGATTCTCCTTCCTCAGCCTCCTGAGTAGCTGGGGTTACATGCGCGTGCCACCATGCTCGGCTAATTTTTGTATTTTTAGTAGAGACATGGTGATGTTGGCCAGGATGGTCTCGATCTCCTGACCTTGTGATCTGCCTGCCTCGGCCTCCCAAAGTGTGGGGATTACAGGCTGAGCCACTGCACCCGGCCTGATTACCATTTTTAATGGACAGC